ACCCCAGTGTGCCACATCATAATGAGTTGGAGATGGTGGTACTGGCTCATGGTGTGCCAGAATTGAAGCATGGTGTACGATAAAAGCACGACATTGCAGAATGGAGGCACATCACAGCTCTAACATGCAAAATATCGTAGCTTTTGATGTCACCCGTCTAGCTGCCTCCCCAAAGTACAACGGCAGCGGGCCAAACATTTTGAAAGTTACCTTGGTTACCTCCAAGATATCAATGACGATCTAAGCGTAGCATGACAAGAGGAAACCTGGACCACCAGAAGTATGGTTAATACCATTTCTTCAAGCAGTATAGACCCCAGGTACAGATGATGAGCCATACTCGGGTGTTCCTACCTCAGATTAGCCAACCGAACAAACACCCGTTTCACAAAACGACAGCAAACAGGCACATTTTGTGCCGGTATAACCATGTGCATCGACCAACAGACACCGCGCCTCAAACAAGTTTTGATTTCTGGACTTAATTCTGACAATTGAAGGGTTGATGGTTGAGTCAGTCACACACAACCCTCCATGAGGTAGCAGCGACCACCCAGTCTTAACGTTTGGTTATATGCCATGTCAGTAACTTTGATGAAGAAGGAGAAACCTGACAAACTATTACTGACTATTCTAGACTTCACAAAATAACGAAAACCGTTAACTGAGATCTACAGTCGCACAGTTCGGCGAACGACGCATGGAATGTGATGAAAGGGAAAACTCACTGGGTCATACAAGCAGCCTAAAAAGTTGCACCATAACGGGTATGGCGCCGGATCAACAATTGGATCCTAATGCAGATACTGCTAATGATAATGGAGAAAAATTCGCTTAGCATCCGACTATGCCGATCTCTAGAACGATGTGGACTAGATTAACGAATGGGCAGGAAGGAACCCGATACAACTGAACCCCGCAAAGTGTAACATGCTTCATCAACACATTTTCTGAAATGGCATGTTCCGCTACAGGTGGTTATTGAACGAGACAGGTATCATCGTTCAAGAAAGTCTTCGCAATTCCCTGCAATGTTTGAAAAAAGCAAATATGGCGAAATTGAACTTGCTTTTGAGGTGAGCTCTCAGCACCTTTGAGCGACTTCTAGTACCACTGTTGATTAACTCATATATTCGTCCCCACGTTGAATATACGACCCAGGCCTGGTGTCCATGGCTAAATGGAGACATTCGTCTATTGGAATAGTCCCAAAAAAAGCAATCAAGGCAACAAGTGGACTATACGTCGCAGTTATGAAGAGTACCTTCGTTTACTCGGTGTGTCCTCCTCAGAATACCGACAGCTTCGCACAGATCTCATTCTCACATACTGGCTAGTAACTCAGAGCGAGCACCCATGTACATCACTGCTGACTCTAGCCACTTACAAACAATACCGAGGCTACTACCTGAAAGAAGTGACGCAACACTTCCATTTTGGTTGTATAAAGTATTGCTACTCTCTTCGAATCTGTTTCCCTTGGAATGCACTGTCAACACATATGGAGAACGCACCAGACCCAGCGACATTCGAATGACTATCACACAACAGTGTGACAAAGTTCGATGTCCAAACTACTGACACGTTACATTCCACGTTGAAACATTTTTGAGTAGAAGTTTCGTTTGCATCTTCCATTGTGTCGGTGTTGTAAAGTTATGCTTTTTATCCCATGATACACTATTTAACAGGATGAACCAACATCCAGCATGCTCACATCAACCAAGCAGTACTACTCCATTCCCACAAATACAAAAACCCACAAACAAAACATAACTTCGTAACGCGTAGACAAGCACGTGGTTCCAATTCGCCTCGACAAACACGCAATACTCCATACATATGCACACACACAGAGAAACGCAAAGCGGCAACCACCATCAACATGAACACGAACACAACATATATACTAAAATATGCACGCCACCAACATACCACATTCAACACAAGCCGAACAGAGTCAACTAGCACAGCATGGTAGCCATCAATACACCAGCAGCGAATCGCATGTGACAAAACAGGTTGTCTGCCACTTATGCATATGCCCAACCAAACAATAGGGGTGAACATGCCAGGAGTGGCCAAAACTATGTTGCAAGCACGGGGTCCCGCGCAAGATAGGAAAATCGAGTCGGGGTGGAGTGCTTGCACAACACACAATCCAAATGACAATGAAACACGCAATAAAAAATCAATAGAAACCACTCGCCCATACACAAAATCACACAGACCACATGATATTTTAGATCAAATAAACACACCATTCGATGCATCGAACTATCATGTGTGCACCGGCGTCGCATACAAACGAACACACGCACAATACAGCAAACACAATCACACCCGTACAAAACACAAACACTCAAAATACCAATGTAAGCAATTGAAATGATCAGCATATGAGCTACACATGTAAGAGACAACATAACACAAACAGAATACACAACACTTCCGACACATACACACTCGTTTCAACGAATACTTATTGATAAGACACACCGTAACGCGTCAATGCATTTATCCACTCAAATGAGACGGACATTGCTAGTGTGGCCACATCCAACTCACAAGCGTATAGTCCCGTGCACGACAGCAAATTCAAGTCGGGGTGGAGTGCTTGCCAAACACAATAGAAAGGAAAATGAGATACAATAGACACACCCATACACACGCGAGTGAAAAACACGGATCAGATGGTGGTTCGAATCATACACCCACTCCTTGCACTGAATTAGCATCATCGACGTACCAAGGTTTCATGCAAACAAACCCACGCACAAAACGCATAAGCTAAAACACAATAAAACGTGCTTGCCATACAAAACAAACAACCGATTGATTAAGCAACATTGCCTCAAACATCACAATCGCCTACAAAGACCACAGGCTATCCCGTAGAACGCTGCCATTCCACCCTACCTCCAAGTCCACCACCAGTGTCTGGGGTGATCGTGTGCAGCTTACCGGGCAGCAGCAATGCTCAGTCTCTCTTCGAGATGCCACAGTCGACGAAATGAGCTTCATCTACAAGGCATCCACTGACGCGAAAACAGTGACCTAGAAGAGTTCCCCTGCAACGTAATACAAGCTATAGCAGTACCAATCGACCAGATAGCTTGCTGTTCCTCACCAAGTCGACAAGCAGTCAAGATGCAAACGCACCATCAGTCTCTTGGTATAGGACAAAAACAATGGTCCCGCGTGCACACCGTATATCATGGCCCGACCGACGGTGTTTCCTATCTGGTTGTGATCGCTAAGCAACCGACCACAGCCGTCACTCGAGCTGGTCTGCAGCGATTCGTCAACAAACACGGACAATGTCAGAAACCACAAAAAGTACGTCGAAAATACCACACTACTAAGCAATCACCAAACAGGTGATTTTGCAGTACTTAGCCCAATACTCACAGTTCGAAACTCGCACTGCGACCGCACGAATTCCAAACCACAACGCAGGGGGTTGTCGTGAGCAATCTAAATTCGCTAAAACTCACACCAACCTCCGTCGGAGGTTGAGATCTGAAACGCAATCACAGCTCTCAATCGTTTAAGTGCTTCTAGCCCGGATTCTCTCCCACCTGCACTATTTAACGATGGGGGTGAGGTCGTTTGCAAAACACTCACCTCCCTATTCGAATATACCTGAAAGGAAAAGTGGCCCGACTAACTGGAGCGAATCGATTATAGTGGCAATATACAAGAAGGGCAATCGCACAGACTGAGCTAACCACATGGGTATTCCCCTGACGCCAGTCGTGATAAGATTACTAGCCTCGATACTCGTTCGTCGCCTCACTGTGGAACAGGGATCTCGGATTAGGGAAGAACAGGCAGGCTTGTACCCAGCACATGGCTGTATAGACCCCACGTTCACTCTGCGGCAGGTGCTAGGAGCAGCGCCACGCATACCGCAGACCGACAATAGCCGTGTTCATCGACTTCAAGAGTGCGTTCGATTCAGTCGATTGATGCATTCTATTCGAAATACTTGTGCGGAAAGGTGCTCCCACGAAACATGTGATCATCTTACGTGCTCCTTACTCGAACACTACAGGCCGCGTCAGTGTCCAGGGTGTCCTGTCGGATAGTTTGCTGACGACAAATGGCGTTCGTCAGGGTTGTCCGACTTCCCCATTTTTGTTCAATTTCGTCGTGGACTCCATCATAGATTATTCTCTTACGCAATTTCAAGATGTAGGCGTTGAGGTCCCATCTGGTGAAAGGTTAGTTGATCTTGATTATGCGGACGATATCGTCTTGCTTTACGACGATGTTGCGGCGGCACAATCAACCCTGAATAGCCTCTCATTATTTTGTATGCGCTTCGCACCTTCAAAGTGCAGTGTTGCTACAGGATCACTCCTTGACTCTTGCTAACGAGGAACTCGAGGTGGTTGATTGCTTCGTTTACCTTGGTAGCTGCATCAGGAACCATGGGCGCATAGAAACTAAAGGTATTTCAGCTATTTCAAAAGGCAGAACAGCCTTGAACCTGCGACATATTTGGGGAGAGAAAGGAGTTTCCCTCCGTCTGAAAGACTGCGTTTACAAGGCCACAGTGAGTGCCGCCCTGCTCTATGGTAGGGAAACTTGGCCCCTTCGGTCTGAAGATCTGAGGCGTCTTCAAGCATCGTTGTCTGCTGGTGTCGGATGGCACTAGCGTGTCCGCAACGATGATGTAAGTAGGCGAGTACTAGGTAGTGAGAATTATGATAGATCCGTAGAACAACAGATAGCACAGAATAAGTTGCGTTGGCTCAAGCACATGCTACGTGTGCCTGATCACCGCTTACCTAGGAGGGCTTTGTTTAATCTGCCAGATATAGAGTAGCGCAAGGCCCGAAGGGGACAAAAGTTGACTTGGCAGCGGGAAATGAAGTCACTGACGACCAAACTGGGTGCCGTTGGTCCTTCTCGCCTTCCGGGATATGGTCCACGTGACTCGCCTTGTGCTTGGATCGAGACTTTACAGGACATGTCTCGCAACTGACACCAGTGGCGCGTCTGCAGCCAACTTCTAATCGGATTGCCTGTTTAAAGTGTGTTTGGTGCTGCGTTATCTGCGGCGTAATGGCTGATTATGACGTGGGGAAGTGAAGGACGCTGGAAGCTGTCTCGCTGATACTACCTTGTCTTTGCACGACAGCCAGCTGTTTGTGAACATATGTTGCTAACACAAGGTGTAGGCGCCTTGACACTGAATGTTTGCTTAGGGCATTAAGGTTTTCAGGTAAGTCCCCCTTCTCTCCATCTCAGTATTCTTTATTCCATAGGTCATCATGGTTGTATGGCAGCGAAGCACCAGTTCAAATGGCTGATGTACCGCTGTCGTTAATGTTGAGGATGAGTCCTCCAATCGTCGTATCAACAACACGAGACCAGCGGACAAACACACAATCCACAATTCTCCACAAATTCAATCGTGCACACATTGACGTAAATATGTCGAAAGCCGCTTATGCGTACGCCAAAACGCACGCGCCAGGGCCCACTGGAACGGATACTTACGCTGTTCATGTTGCAAGGACCCCACAGTGCATAAACAAGTATGCACCGTACAGAAACCTTGCGACCTCAACACCCATTACCACCCCCACACCATACCTCGTCGCAACACACTGTGAAGACATTCCATCTCCCCCAACAGAGAACAACACACATTCCCTCACAACAATAAATACAAGGAACCAACCACTCACAAACATTAATGCACAAATACACCTTCCGTCCCCACCTCTGCGCATCATCCACACAGGCAAACACACACACACCACACGCCAGTAAAACACAACACACCCAACACAAATATTCAGCGATACACACATCCAAATCACCAAAAAACAGGTACCAAACAGTGTACACTGGCAACTCAACGGAAACATTCACCAGCAACCACACACAAAACATTAGCCATAGATACAGATCAATGCAGAGCACCATATCAAAATATACACTGGATGCCACCCGCGCAGCAGTGGCCACATCAATGCCGCAAGCACATAGTCCCGTGCATGAAGACAAATCCGAGTCGGGGTGGAGTATCTGCCTAATACACAACAAGCCAAATACATTAAAACACAACGTTGTAATACTGCCACAGGGCTGGCACAGCCACGCCAATCTCCTCGGATTTCACCAGCACCAGTACGCTATCAAACCCGAACAACACCATCACTATGCAGACCCATACTACTCAGCCACTGTCAACGGGAACCATAGAGAATTCCAGGGGACCCTGGGATGAGACATATTTTAAAGGGACCAAAGGGTCCATGCTGTAAAAAAGTGGGTTGTGATAACTTAAATAACAAAATTCACTAAACAAATTTTCAGATAGTTTCTCTCCGCGCACTAATCTCCACTGGTGACTACGGGTCAGTGAAAGGAATTATGCGCACAAGTGGCTGTTTACGAATCTGTGAAATCCAAACCGGGAACACTTTCTGTTGCGCAGCTGACATAGCTCCGCGAAACTTCCGCAGGTTTCGCCGGGCTCACCGCATACAATCACCAAACGGCGACTTAACCGCGCAACGAACAACCGATTCGTCCTCAGTGAACTGATTGAGCTCCACCCAAGACACTGAGGCAATTACTAGGCAAACCGAAGTGAACCCATTGAACTCTCCTCAACAGGCAGCGACAGTTGCCGCACAAAGCCATACTGACACTGAGCTTTTCTCAGGATACAATTACTGTGAGACAGCTTATGTGCCGGTCAATATTGTTTGTTCGGGTTTCGGCGCAGTACCGATAGCTTAGGCATTTTTAGTCTCCAGTCTCAGCTGGAAGTGAACGTCTGGCGACTAGATATAACGTTAGTGCGCAGTGTTCCGAATCCAAGTGGCTACTACGCGCGCGTGGGGTACAGTCTCTAAAGAACGTTCGTTCATTCCGAGTCGAACAACTAGGACGCGTTATAACGCCAGCTTAACATGCAGTTCAGCTGAAGTTGGTAAATTAGCGAGCATCATACGTGTGGACAACCGCCTTCTTTGGTGAGTATATTTAACATACTGTGTACAAAATGAGACTTCTCTTGATACTCCGTCGCAACGAGGCTAAACATTAACGTGGGGCGACAGTTTGCGTAACTTGTCGACCCATAGAGCTTTATTGCGCGTTGCCTCCGGGCCCCTTGGGAGCTAATCTTACCAGGTTGGTCAATAGTCAGTCTCCTGGTCCTCCAGGTTGGGGGGTTGAAACGGGATGGCGCCCATTTCTGCAAAACCAAAGCACTGCCACCACTACGCTGATATGCGGACAGGCTTTTAAGCCAAAGTCTTTGGTTAAGGACCCTAATCGTCCTCCTGTCTAGGTTTGGGTGCCCTGACAGTATCTCAGCCCACAGACAACCATGACAATATGCCCAAACTCTAACTACATCCTGCATCGGCCGTCGCGTAGATTATCAAAAGTCGCCTTATCTGATGCATACAGCAGGGCTGATAAGCGAAAACATGCTACTGCTGGCGCATCCTTTAATTTCCATTCGTTTCTCCTACTTTCATTCCAATCCCCATTACTAACCCTCCCTCTATACTTTGCAGCTTAACCGACAGGAATCCAAGTGCCAATGGAGTAGAACTAGATGCAGTCACACTCAGATATCAGAATACTTGCAGGAGATATGAACGCATAAGTAGGGCGTCTGAGCTCTTCAGAAGCTCAGCTGGGTGGTACTTATGGGCTTAAATCCGAATGAACTGACAACAGCGAGCGTCTTTTGCAACTGTGTGTTGAGCATCAGTTGTTCCTTAGTAGCACTGCTTTTCGACACAGTGGGCATCGAAGTGCCACTTGGCATCCTCCTGTAGCTGGCCAGCGATGGAACCAAATTGACCACCTTGCCATAACTTACTGATGGCGTGGTCCCATACTGGATTGCCGCTCGTTCTGGAACACCTTCATCGACTCTGATCATGTCTTGGTACGCTGTCGTTTCTCCAGGAATTTACCGGGAGGCACACCAAGCGTCTCCTCCGATGGGCAACTGAGAAATTGTCTCAGCCTTCGGTCATGCAAGCCTATCAAGACACACTGCGTACCGAACTTTCGCTCCCTTGTCCTAATGACACCAAGCTTCAGTGGAATAGGATCTCGGCATAGTAGAATGTTTGTTTGGCACATTACTGCAATGAGTGCCCCACGCATAGATTAGCGAACTGGAGTCGGATCGGTACGGCATAATCGCAAACGCTGTACACACGAGGTGAGACTGGAGATGAAACGTCTAACATCGCACAACTGCACCGAGACCCAGAAAAAATATGCTTGACGATATAGCAAGGGTGTCCACAGATAAAGCTTTTGATGAAATCTACTAGACTAGTTACTCAATGAATCTGAGGACAATAGAAGTTTGTGCACAAACGAAGAGCGGCACAGTGGATACATCCTCCAGTGTTCTTCCAGATGCGTAAAACGCCATGTACGATGGAGATGCTGGCGGAAACCTCTACAAAATCACACACGCACAAGTGATATCAAAACATGCATAAAACACGCCGGTCTGTAGTAAATCTCAATGCTGTGTCGGTGCGCAGTAGAATTTTTGCAGAGAGAGAAAAAGAGTTCAATGAATGTGAACCGGTCAGAATGCAGGATGAGCCACTGACGGTGTGAATGAGCCGCGCGAAGTCGCATTGCGTTAGCACCTCATAATGGTGTGCAACCGTGCACACATGAATTATAACCAGTCCGAGCAGGCGAGAATCTTCAGATACATGAGTAAACAGTCGATTGAAAAATCTCATAGACAGTATTGCTCGGCGAAAATATCTCAAATAATACAATCATGAGTTTCCAAAAACCACACTTTCCAGAGAGCGCTCTCGAAAACTGGTGGAGAGTGGACGAATGTAATCAAGTCGTCGTGATCACTTACAGGACTATACAAAACCAGGCAGCTCCAGAAGACCAATCGCCCGCCGAAGCATTGATGAGCCTGAAACTGCGCAGCATTCACGAAAACGTCATCGTAACCGAAAAGCCGCAAAGCAAGCATGCTGTCTTCATCGGCCGCAGTAGTTTCGTCGTTGGAGCCCAGGTACATGAACACGGCAGCAGAGAAATACCACAGGAAAAAACACATGTGCGCAAGCTACGCGTAGTCCCACACACACAAGCATCACATTCAAAACACGACAAATGAAGCACACAGCACACACTCACACCTCAACTTCACTTCCACCACACATACACGTACCCCACACCAACAATAACGAAGCCTACACAGACACATACAGACCACATACGCCAACCACAGTCGCTAAGGACAATCAGCTCAGAGCATAGCAAAGCGCACGTATCGTTAACCACTATGTAGTACGCCACAACATCACACACGGACGGACATTTACATCATCAAGGTGACCAGCTGAACCTCACAATACTCCAACCAACGCCGACTGACCCAATAATTTGCGAACACCTTCGCGCGTAGCCCGTCGCATTCCGTTGTAACACTGCCCACTCAGAAGGGGAAGAAACAAAACCCCAAAGCCTACTAGACCGAAGTGGAACGGAACAGAACACAGCTAGTTTTGTACGTCACATACTATCATCGCCGGATGCACGTTTCTGAGCCAACTCATGCCACTTGCCTGGACAGATTCCAAACTTGCTAGTGGTCTGCACTGGCCAGCCGCATTCGCACTCATTCACGCCTGTCCCGTAGCAACTTTTATCATGATGACGCATTGATTTCATCATCCTCCCGTGTGACTTGGCGCATGCCCACTTTAAGTATCGAAACCGTGTCACGTTCTTAGGTTGCTGCCTACGAATATATTAGCATCAACATTACGCACAACAGCAGCAACAATCAAAGCACACACTTTCGGAAGCAGCATGACGGCCACTCGCATGGATAAGGAATCCGAGACACTTGACCCACCGAAAGAAAAAATAGGACACACAAACGCTACATATAAACAAATTACTCCTCGAGACGCAGTATGCCAACGTACAGTCTCACGCATCCTCCCACCACGACATAATAAACAAAACACATTCACTCATATATACATACGAAATCAGCCGACCAAGTTGATAGAAACAGCAAAACACACACGAATAATATGCACGTTCCACTTCAACACATAATGATGTATCCGAATTCCAGTTCAGCATGTAAATGCCACACAACACACATCACAGCTGACTTTGGATAAATACTAAACACAATGCTTTCCATACAAGCGCGCACACCGGTGAACATCCAATAGCAACACACAATGTATGACACCACTAATACATATGCCCAATCAGAAAACACGGGCGGACATCGCAGAGGTGGTCACTTCTATGTCGCAGGCGCTTAGTCCCGTGCACGATAACACATTCGAGTCGGGGTGGAGTGCCTGCGCACCACACAAACAAAATGCATCAGCATCAATCACTCACACATGTGATTGTGGCTCAAAGGACCACTCTGGACTAACCACAAATCCCACGCACATCATGAAGGTCAGCCAACAGCAGAACCAACGCGCCCAGCACCAACACACGAAAACAAAAGATGAAGGCAGAAGTGTGTACTAACGGACATGTGGAAAACTCCGAATCCACGGGCGTTCGCACTACCGACACAGCAAGCGCGAATCCCGAGATTACCGCGTCACGCACACCCGGGGGTGTATGCCTGCGTGCACACCTCGTGAACACCAACACAATCACAACAATGCACAAAAAATATTATTCCAAGTGGAACACAGTACACCATCAAAATATCATCCTGACACTAAATCTCTCTCTCCACACTGTTCCCACAAACGATGGTGGATAGACATCCACGCCAGAAGCAATCGAACTTCTCGTTACGGCCAGTTCGCGGCACACCTCGACAGCTCACATGACGCAACAAAACCCATTTCTGACAACATACATTGATCCGATGAGAACACGACACAAGCGATTCCACAATACGAACCCACACCCAAACA